TGTACTCTGCACAGAACATACCTGCCTTCACTTTTCTCAGTATGCTTTTTGAGTCAGCTACAATCACATCAGCTGCAGAGACTGCCTCTACGTCCATTCTCGAACATGATGTTGTGGTATCATATGCCAGGCTTTGCTGCGCTGAAAGGTCGTCGATTCTCATTTGCTATGAACCCGCGTGCATTTCTGCCTCACAACACAGAGCAATCAGTATAGAATACAGACAACCACCGTCCCCAGGCAGACACACACTTCGCTGACAGCCTTTGCCCGAGCAAGACGTTGAACGCGCAAGCCCGCCTCGCCTGAACACGTTGCCCGCTAACTATCCATTCGTTGCCTGATTTTCGATTGCCAGCTACTGGACAGAATCGCTTGATATTCGGCTGAGTCTGTCTCGACTGAGCTATCGGAATCGGCTGCGGGTGGGTCATTAGCAGCCCGTGTACGCACCTAGCCAACTACAACTACCAGCAACAAATATCTACAAGAATCAACAGAGGAAGGAACAACGCCCTAGGTAATTATAATTTACATTATAAACTCTCTAAACCGAAACCTAGGGCGTGCGTTTAGCCTCTAAATAAATTCGAGAACTTTTTATTATCGTCGTAGAAAATGGACATTGCGCCCATCACGATTGAATCACCAGGATCACCAGCTCCTCCGGGAGCCGACCCTTCAGGGGTGCCTGATGCCGCCTCAGTAGCGACGCAAGGACCCCCTCGCCAACGCAAGCAGCGGCAGCCTGAGACCAGCACACCAGACATCATGCAGTGCTCGCGCTGCAATAAGGCGTGGCATACAGCTTCGTCCTGCCGCAGCAGCCTTTCGTGCAGATACTGTTCTGGTACGCACGAATTCAAGGAGTGCCCGCTGGCTAAAATTGACACTAATTTTAAAAGACCGAACAGCAACCGCAAGTGCTCCAACTGTTCCGGTGCGCACGGCGCGAGATACATGGGCTGCCCGTATCTCCAGCAGTGCAAAAGGTCACTTAGAACCGCCCACGAAGCAGCCAGACAGAGATACGTGGCACCCAGGTCCTCAGCAGCACCAAAGCAACCGAGTGGGAAGCCAGCACAACGGACAACAGACAGACTAACCGACAAGACGATCACAACCGCAATGGACCCTGAAACCTCGCTACAAATTTCTGAAATTTTAGCGGAAATCAGAGCTCTCCGCCAAGAAAAGTCCGACACCGACGCTGACAGAACGCAGATGCTAGACCTGATTTCGCAGATGCGTGACGAAATCAAAGCATTGAAAGACGACAGACGAGAACAAGTATCGCAGCAAACAAAGTGGCTAGCAGAGGCTGCACGAATGCAAGAAAACCTGACAGAAATAACACTAAAATTACAAGCAGAAAAAGCTGCAGACGAGACCCGCCGACAGGAAGAAAGGGAGGAGAGACGAAAGGAAACCGACGCACTTAGGGAAGCCCGCGAGAGCACTTACAAAGAAGTCACCCTTATGATCCAGACAAAAGCAGAAGCCGAAGCTGCAGTGCTGGCGGCAAGAACAGAGCGCGCCCTGCTAGAGAAAGCAAGAGAGGCCTCCAGCAAAACTGTAAAACAACCAAATACCGACAAAAGCACACTAACCGAAGCGGTAGTGATGCAGCACCAGGAACAGATGACAGACCCCGATATGAACGAAGAACCAAGCGATGAGACAGCCACCAGGCAGCCAGTCACGCCACTCAGCAGCCTGAAACCAGTAGCTGACGCAACTTGCGAGGCTGACCTCGAGGCATTGCTTGAAGAATACAACGAGCATGTTGTCCCGCACAAGCTGGTGTACGACGAAGAAAGTAGGCGCTACTGCGTTGAATACCACTGGGAAACCATCAATAAAAAAGACAAAACACCAGAAGAAACAGAAGCGGGCCAACTACTTAACAAATTCTATGACGAATTTAATGCGGCCCTGATCCAAATTCGCAAGAGAAATTGGAATAACGGCACTCCCAAGAGACGAGGCCGCCGCCAATACTAAGAGCCGCAGAAAGAGCCCACCAAACAAGCCGCCATCTTTAAGGACAGCCTAAAACACAACAACCAACAACCGGACAGCGGGTCGACGTACCGGAGCCACTCCCACCCGCTCCGCCCCACTGTCAAATAATTACGTAATCACCATTGAACTAACCAAAATCTTAATATAGTTTATTTTCAGAAAAAAGAAGACAAACGGAATATACCACAGGCCGCCCGACGCAGACAGCCGAGGGCATTGCACCTAAGGGGACCAGCACTTAGGAATTCCAGTCACCGTCATGCCACCCCACCCCACCCCAAGTGTATGTTAATAAATGCATCTCTATTGTATTTCAGACCAAGTGACCTCAGCCGACCAGGGTGGATCCTGCCTCTATCTGTCACTCTCATTCTCCCGACCTCACTATCACACCTACTGGCACATTCGGGCAAACTGACCTCTCATTTGCAGTCTATCTTACCTCCACTACTTCTCCACACTCCGTGGAAAAAAAATAAAAAAATTTTTGTTTTTTTTTGGGCCGATCACAACAACAGATTGTGACGGCCCTGTTTGTCCTGAAAAGGAACATTGTTCGTATCGACGGCGCAACGGATATTTGTTTGGCTTTTTCAGGCGGCTTTTAGATCGGCAACCAAGCAGCAACAGGGCACCAGCACAGCGACCAGCACGAGGCAAACCAAGCACCAGCAACAGTCAGCTAATACCCATCAATATCACCGCAAAGAGATCTGGCACACACCAGAACCCAAAACCGCAAACAACGCAGCACAGCAAGGAAGCAAACAACCATAATATCAGGTGTGACTACACACCACAAATAAAAGGAAACCATATAAGACAGCAAAGGACCCTTCTTCGATATAGCAGGCCTCCGGGCAGCTGAAAGAGGATCAAGTTTGGAATTTTTCTTGGACAACTGGCATTGGCATTGGCATTGGTCCCCAGGCAGGAATTGTCATACATCAGTTGTTGAACTTCTAATTCTGCAGCGCCCTCTGGCCAGCATACCACGTAAGTAGAACTAATGATCGGCTGAGTTGCTTACGCTGAAATGAGTTGCTTATGCTAAAATTAGTTGCTTACGCTGAAATGAGTTGCTTATGCTGTTGAAAACTTGCTGGTGATACAGTTTAGTAATTAGGGTGATGAAAATCACGAACAGTTTCACTGTCAACAATCCAGTGTCATGATGATTTAAAAAAAAAAAAAAATTCTATCAACGTACGCCACACGCACGAAACAGTTCTTAAATATTTGTAGTTTTTAGTTCTTCTTTTTTTTTTTTTTTCATTCTATGTCCAAGAACTATAAACGCTGAGCAAGTAATACAGTCCCACTTGCTTACATCTCGTATTTAACCCAAGAACCCGACACAAGAGTTGTAAATGGAGCAGCTATTACACTGCCCACATCACTCATAGTGTTCCGATCGTTCTACATTCTTGGTGAATTATTGTATATTGAGTTTACATTCATAATTTGTTTTTGAAAATGAAAATCAATCTTAATAGCGCTCTTGACAGAGCTCAGCAACGAACTTAACATCTCCCCCCGACACTTCGCCGAGGTACAAGGTGGAAGAGAAGAAGACGAAGAAAAAGAAGAGGAAGCTCTGTCCTTGTTGCAACATTTGTATTGTTTTACCTAGCTGTATTCGTTACATTTACAGTGCGCAGATTGATTATGTTTATATAATAACTGTGTGATTGTAACAGAATTTGTAATGTATGAAAAACTTAAACAGCATGATACAACACAAACACGTAATGTAAATTTAATACATTTATTTTAGATGTAATGTTAAGGTAAATAATGTGTCAGTATACTGGGTTTCATTTGATATTAAATATGGATATTACAACATATCTCACACACAAACACACACACACACACACACACACACACACACACACACACACACACACACAAACCTGCCTAACCTAGAAGTTTGTGCGACTGCAGAACTCCTGGGCCTGTGGTGTAGCGGCTAGGCGCTCACCTAAAAATCAGAAGGTCGTGGGTTCAGGTGATGGTATCAATTAAAAGGGAGTCGGATTTTTGTGTGCAAATGATATTGGCTTCCAGTTCAACCCAGCCTTAAGTGGGTACCAGGTAAAGTCCTGAGAAGTTACGGCGGCTGCGTGATGCTGACCATATCACCTGCCAAGTGCAGATTGGTGTATACAATTTAGGTCTAGCCCTATATACCTCAAGGCGTAGAAAAGGGTCCTTTACTTTAACTCCTTTACTAGCCAAGCGGCCCTAAATCCACTTCAAGGAAAGTTCCCCTTTTCCAGCCTCGTTCTAGTTCTAAAAATTGGTAAATATAGGCAGTGACTGACTGATGTTTACTCCCCCAGGACATCACACCGAGCGACAAGCACCCTGTGATACAAAGTGCCACCATTCGGAAAAGGATCACCTGGGAACAGGTCCCAAAAAGCACGTTCAACCCATAGTTTAGGTTATAATTAAGACTGCTTGCAAACTGATATGTGCATCGTCCGTTGTTCCATCTGAAACAGTATGAAACCGTAACAGTAATAACACGGACGTTATTTCTCACTATCAAACTCTTTACACATAGCCAATCACTTTAGTTCAAACAAATATTCAGTTGAAATTCAGCTTCCAACTGTTGACAACAGCTTACTGATAGTGTTTAAAACTGGTATGTACGCGTACACAGAAACGTTTAAAAATAAAAAAGGAAACATTTGATTTTCACACACGTATAAAAGAACATTGTCGTTGTATTCATAAATTTGGACATACACTCATCTTCTTAAAAAATAATTGAAGAAACGTTAACACACCAAAATAGAAACATTTAAACATCTTTACCTTACCCAGAACAACTGGGCGCACCAGGGTAATATTTGGTGAAGGCGTAGGGTACCCTTAATATAACCATGTTAAGAAGTTATAATGGTATCAAGCTTGCTTGCTGAGTGGTCATATCTTTAATAAGCCCTAGGTGAAAAAAAAATTCAGCTTGAGGCATCTTTTTCATGCACCCACAAAGGAACATCGTCTTTGTACACATATTTTGCTAACCGTGTCAAAACTTGGTCCACTCTGCTGACGGTGAGTCCTACAATTTGAATAATGAGGGTGAAACCGTAAAGGGCTCCACTTATCATACCATAAATATTCAGCCTAGACAAAGGTGTGTCCAAGCCCAGATAGAAGTAAGACAAGAACCCCAACCACAGAGCGTTCAGGATTAGAAATCCTGCAAATAGACGATTGCGCAAAACTCGGAGTCCTTCAGCCAATTCTGCCTTTCCCAATCCTTTGTTGACTTCTGTTCCCAGACGTGTAGAGGTCAAAGACTCCCAAAACTTGTGTTCTTCTCTAGCCTGGAGATCTCCCTTAGACATATCCACCAATAGGGAAGAGATGATGTCTTGAAGTTCGCATTTTGCATCGCCAGTTGGATTAGCAGATGAATCTAAACGTGAAACAACAAAACGTTTATTATGCAGGAATCTGATGCATGCGGGTCAAATACTAGTATATATGTTGTGTTATCCAAATCGATGTCACTGCACACTGGGCAACCCCATGTGTGATCAGTCTCTTGATTCAACAGCCAACCCAAGGTACCTCTCCTGGCTGTTACATTGAGACGTTGGTTATAGTTAACACATGGACTTTGAACACGTCATAGACGCTGCAGACTGTACTTGTAAGTTGTGTCTTTGTATCTGCATTCGTTATTACTTCCTAGGATCCAAGAACACGTTATTACTTCCTAGGATCCAAGAACACGTTATTACTTCCTAGGATCCAAGAACACGTTATTACTTCCTAGGATCCAAGAACACGTTATTACTTCCTAGGATCCAAGAACACGTTATTACTTCCTAGGATCCAAGAACACGTTATTACTTCCTAGGATCCAAGAACACGTTATTACTTCCTAGGATCCAAGAACACGTTATTACTTCCTAGGATCCAAGAACACGTTATTACTTCCTAGGATCCAAGAAGACTCATTTACCCAATTTTAACGTCATATTCTGCCCCAATAAAATTGTACTCTTTTTGACCATCTGAACAGGTTTATTTATCACATTTTCGGCCACAATAATAGGCATAATTCTGATAAAAGCCATACAGGAGAGTTGAAGGCTGGCGAACAAGATGTAGACAGCGATACAAGAGGGAAGGTATCATTTAGAGATTGACGAACAGTAGTCTCAAAGAGTCTACAGTCAGGACAAGAGAACAAGAGAACATTGTAGCTAAATTGCAGCCAACCATCATTGTGAAGACGGCCCTTTATTGACAGGGCCGTACCCTGCTATGATACAGAGAGCGTCAGCATCAGGCGGCACTGTTACAAAAAAAGGAGTGCGTGGGGGATGTATAATCATCATCACCATGTGCCCTGCCAACTGGCGTAGGCGCTTATGCGTCTCCACAGATGACGATCCCTAGTTGCCTGGAACAGCATTCTTGATTATTTCCCTCCATGCCATAGTTTCAGCTCATCCAGCATCATCTCTCTTGGTCTGCCTCTACTCCCTTTTCCACTGATCTTTCCAGTTGCCACGATGTTCTCCAATGTCTCTCTTCTCATTATGTGGCTAAAGAACAGTGTTTGTCTCTTTCTTGTTGTTGTATATAGAAATCTACTTTCTTAGCTTCTTTCAAACAATCGTTGTTAGTTACTCTGGCCGTCTAAGGTATTCGTAACATTTGTCTCAGAAACCACATCTCTGTTGCTTCCATATTCTTCTTAGTTTGTTCACTGACATTGCAAGATTCGCTGCCATACAGCAGAACAGGTTCTGTGTAACATTTTAGCACCCTCTTTCTGTATAAGCAGCGAAATCAAAATGCAATTTGAACTTTTGATCTGACAGCGCAAAACTATTAGGGACAGCATTTCCAAGACTTGCATCATACTGAGAAAATCTACCGCACGGGAATGCTTATTGATTTCCTAGCTCCTTTTAAATGGTTACTGTTAGTTTTACAGATGTCTCATGTGTTGTTGCACCCTAACAGATATACGTCATGTCGTTGGGTCCCGTGCAGCGATTTGCTTCATTGTTCATGTAACAGACTTTCAGCGAAGCGACTGTTGGTGCCCCCTCCCCCTCACATGTCTAATAATACTCGTAGCATTTATGGGCGCCGACATAAATAATATATGGGAAGGAGGTTGGAAAACGGGTGGGCGCCCTCAGCCGGGTGTATATTTCCTACCGTCGGGATTCAAGGAACCTAAGCCTTTTAAAGTGGTTAAAATAATAATACAAATAATAATATATAATAATAATAATAATAATAATAATAATAATAATAATGTATTAAATAGTAAATTAATATAATATAATTTTTTAAATAATTTGATATGTAAATAAAATATTACTTTAAAATATATCAAAACATGATTGGGGAAAGGGTCAACTTGAACCTCATGGTAATTTAGAAAAGGAGGAAATAACACCCCCTCCCCCTTTCCCCATTTCAAGCTTCTGAAAAAAGGGTGGGAGGGGGGCTCTAGATGCTTATTCCCCAATGTTCCGGCCCTCCTACTACTTTTTACAGTCCATACTTTACACGCATACAACAGCATGTGGCAGTAATAAAATACCAGACAATTTTCTGACTTCCACGGATAGACATCATCTATAGAACACGTTCTTCATCTGATTTAATAATGCTCAATGCTGCCTTTGACTGAATTCCGCAAGTTTTGTCTTAATACGTTGTGTTGTTCTTGGTCTGTTGACTTTAATGTCACTGTGCTTTTGAATATTTTTTTTTCTTCACATTATTGTCCCAGCAATACTCATGGATGAACCAAAAAAAAAAAAAAAATAAACCTCTTCCTCTTTTCACACTTTCACACTGTTAACGAATCTTAGGAACTCGATGTGGTGATGTGATCAAGTCATGCCAACCATTTTTATTTCTCATGACATTTCTTTCAGGCATCCATTTGAGATTGGTATATATATATCTCTGGTTATATCTATCCTCCTTTAAACCATTTCATACCGGTGGTAAATCTGGCATATGGTGCTCAACTGTTATTTACGTAGACCAACCGGAACTCGATGGGTGTTATGGTCAGGTCACCCCAACACCCTTTACTTTTCATGTCATTTTTTGCCTGGCATCCATTTGAGATCGGTGGACCCAGGAGCCAAGGTCATATATTAACTAATTCAACAAGATGCAGATTCGAACTCAAGACATTCGGACAGGCAGGCAGGCAAGCTTGAAATCAGTGCGCCCCAAAATTATCACCCAAGTAAATCTTTAATGATTTAAATAAGTTAATAACGAGACCGGCTAAAATGATTTTAAAAAAAATCATGTCACCTTTTTCATCATTTCTCGGTTTTGATTTCCTCAAACTTTTCCTCATCTTTCTAAACGCTGGTATGCAGGAAATCTTGGGAAGTTTCGCATTCGTCTGAGGATTAAACGTTTCTCACTGATTTAAAAAACAACAACAAACACATACATAATCACTTCTCTCTCTCTCTCTCTCTTTCTCTCTCTCTCTCTCTCTCTCTCTCTCTCTCTCTCTCTCTCTCTCTCTCTAAGTAAAATAACGTGTATAATAATTTTGTTATCATGGCTAGTTTACAAAGTGTCCAACTGTGGTTAAAGGATAGCGCAATATAATAATAAGAAGCTTAGCACATAGGATATATCTGATTTCAACTCTTGTCTGAGAAAATTGCCTGGTTCTCATAGAGGCTAGACCGGATTTAGACTTTGTCGGGCATAAAGGTATTTAAAGCTCCGAGGATTTAATCCCTCAAAACTGTGTAATATATAAAAGTAAAAAAGTAAAGGACCCTTTTCCACGCCTTTCTGGCCTATTGGGTATATAGGGTCAGACCTATCTATTTATAGACAAACGGCACAAGATGGATGAAGTTGTCAGCACGACATCGGCCGTCTTTACTTCCCGGGACTGCACCTGGTACCCACTCAAGGCTGGGTCAACCTGGGAGACAAAGTCAGTTTTGAAAAAAAGTCCGACTCAACCAGGGAATGAACCCACCCACCTTCCGATTTTCAGGCGAGTGCCTAGCCGCTACGCGACGTTAATATATTAGGTTAGGTGGGTATACTTTACAGGACGTTGCAGAACCAACCTCAACAGCCCCTGGCTGTTGTGTGGTGTTTCTAGGCAGATTTACGTCTAGTAGTTTGCCATTGCCTTCTGGAGTGTCGGCTTTCTTGACACCACTGTTGATACCACTGTTAATATATACGCCTTTTAGATATTTAGATAATGGAAATATATTGTCGTCTGATTTTTATTCAAACAGACAATAAAAACGTTTTTGCAAAATTACTGAAATTAATAAATAATGCTATAAAGGCCTTTACGTTATACCTTAACCCACCCCCCCCCCCCCCCCCCATCATTTTTTCCATATTTCAAATGTAGGAAAAAAAATGTACAAATTGCTGCAAGAGAATTTAATTTAAACATATTTTAAAAGAAATGATAACTGCACTTGTCAAAAAGAAGAAACAAAGGATTTTGTTAGAATTCTGCATTTTATATTTTATGAGACCTTACGTGTGCAAGCGGGACATGACACAAAAACAATGGGAACACAATGTCATGGACCGTGTTGTGTGGAAGGGGCACATCAAGAAAGGAATAATAATGAAGGAAGAAATAATCGCAGAAAGGATGACAGCTGAGCGCCAAAAAAAAAAAAAAAAAAAAAAAAAACACACACACACACACACACACACTAAACACCCATGTTGACAACAAGGTAGTTGCGTATCCTTTACAGGACGTTGCAAAACCAACCCCAACAGCCCCTGGCTGTTGTGTGGTTTTTCTAGGCAAATTACGTCCAGTCGTTTGCCATTGCTGCTAAACGGTCGGCTTTTTTGATACCACTGTCGTACCAACGCAAGGCGCATGGCCCGCAGTTGGGATCGAACCCGGCATCTCAGCATTACGAAGCGTTCGCATCGACTTAGCCACAGAGCCGACTGTTGACAACAAAGGTCCTGAAAATGCATACTAAAATTGTGGAAAAGATCTCTTAACGCGGGCGGGTCTGCTAGTCACACTCGCCATCGCCATGGGCTGTGATTCTCATTTCACCTCCATGATGTTGTGGTGTTATATGCTATGCTTTTTTGCACTGAAAGGTCGTCAATTCTTGTCTAATATGAACCCACACGCACTTCTGAAATAAACAATAATATAAAATCCAGTTTGCAGTTACAACACGCGCATACCGAATCTCGGGTCCCCCAGCTCTGATCGACAATGTTGGCAATGCTATAGATGGGCAGAAGCACATGCATCGCCGGGAAGATGAAGAGGTAAGCAAATCCGTAGATGATCTGATAGCTCTCTCTAGGGTGCATCAAGGCAGCGTACACGAGACTCAGCGTCAGCAGCATGATAACGTAATGTTGTTGGAAGTGGAAGTGACCGGCGTTGATTTCTGAAAGATTGTAGAATTGTTTTGTTAAAGAGTTATAAATATGTTTAGCACCTACCCATTTTCTCTTTTCTCCACTTCTCATCTATATTTTTTAGCTTCTTTTTCCTTCCTTTGCTCTTCATGTCCCTTCTCTTGCTTTTTCCTAATTTTTTTTCTTTTCTGGTATCGTCTTTATTTTTCTTTTGTTTTCTTTGTTTGTTTCTTTCATCCCCATATAAATCTCATTACAGACAGACAGGCAGACAGGCAGCCTGTGATTGTGGAGCAGAAAGACAGACCCCTGAGCACATACTACAGTACTACCCTAACCTCTCCCAGCAAAGACTGTGGATCTGGCTCAAGGGAGCAAGAGAAGCTATGGGGGACCGGTGGCGACCTTAAACGCACAATCCTATTTGTGACCCAGACGGGACTCAATTTTTAGCATGACTGATGTCGAACGCAGAAGCTGACTGAAAGAGAGACCGATAGATGTGTTAATTATTGTTATTTGAGCACTCTCTCCGTGTGGGTTCCGGATCTCATTCTTCTCTTTTTTTTTCTTCTGCCTTCTACCCCCAGTGGAGTGTAGGCCCCTTTTGCATGCAGCTCACCTTATGTCCACCTTATCTTTTCAACTTCACTCTCTAGCTCTCTTCTCCATGTTTTTGTGTTTGATTTGTCTCTATTTATATGACCCCGTGGGTTCCAGTGCAAATACATTTTAGTTATGTTGTTCTCAGGTATTCTCAACGTGTGTCCTATCCAACGTCAGCGTCTTTTCATTACCTTGTGGTCCAATGAAACTTGTTTAATTATCTCCCAAAGCTCATACCATTTAATTCCCTCTATTTTGCACAGGCACCAATGATAAATGGGGTCCAATTGTGATAGGAAAAAAGAAAACACACAGTGCCTCCCCCAAGCCTAACAAGCAAGCTGCAAAAATCGATTAATTATGGGTATTTTAAGTCGGATTACATCTACCGGAGAGGCGATAAACCAACAGTCTGCATACAAATAAATCATATATGTTAAAATCACGCAAAAAATCAAGTTCCAGAACAAGACTAAAGTCCAGAAGTGGACAAACAACCAAAACTTTCAGACGAAAACATGAGCACTCACCTGATACCATGCTGGAAGTTATCTTGTAGGAGCCGTAAAGTGCCACAGAAGAGAATGTGCTGCCCATAAGGACAGTTAGAATGTTGGTGAGCAAGCCTTGGGTACGTGCACTCGTGCAGGTGCACAAAAATGCATAGGTGTATACGACGACAGCCAGAGGTATTGTTGTGTAGGCGTACGGGATTTCAAATACCAATTCCAGGCCTGTGGAAACAGTGTTTGCTTGTCAACAGAGGCGCCCGTACGAAAAACATCCTTATGTAGAGGTGGAGGGACGCTCAGTCCCTTATACATTTTCGTGTGGGGGGCTTAAGAGGTTTAACCTTTTTTAATGTATAATAGTACTTAAAACTGTACTGTAATAATACATTTAATGGAAAATTGTATGTGTGGGTTCCGGGGCTCCATTGTGGGGGGAAAAAAACAGACCCATTGCCTCCCTAACAAGTATGTCGTAGGAGTAGACTAATAGGGGGCTTTCTTCGAAGTCGAAGTGCATCTGCCCCGAGCGGTAAGGAACAACAAGCTGCACGCATATAAGCCCGTAAAACGGATGTACACTCACAACTCAGGCCTTGGCATAAAATCAAAAGTCGGAATGAAGGAACAACGGAGACTTTCCGCTGACCTCACAGCCGGGGAACACAGAAGAAGAATATGACGAATTGAAAATAATAATAATAATGAATAATGTGCAAAAATATGTATAGTATCGATGTGGATTCATAGGAATAACATGCCATGGACCGTGTTACATGGACGTGGAATACTCAGGAAGGTATTAAGAATGAAGGAAGAAATTATCTCAGAAAAGATGAGAGCTGAGCATCTGAGAAGAATCACGCTAAATACAAATGACAATAATGATCCTGAAATCACATGCTATAATTTTGGAAGACTTTTCTTAACGCTGGCGGGTCTTGCTAGTCACACTCGCCGTTGCCAACAAAAACAATTATCCACATTATATGTATAGACAGAATCTTAAAAAAAAAAAAAAAAAGATAACTTTTTTTTTTTACATGTGTGCTAGCGGGAAGATCGAAAAGGAAAGCAAGAAGTAGGTAGATGAGGAAAAAAAATATGGCCAGGACAAAATGTAGCAGTTTCCCGCTAAACAGCAAAAACTGGAAAAGTAAATAAGACGAGGGTTCTTCTGTGCATGAACTACGAAAAATTCCATCAGAGCCTTGTCGATGAGTATGTGAATTACACAACTACAACAAAATATGACTACAGACACCTAGATGAACCACGTGCACATACTACAATTCTAACTTGAATCAAGCAAATGAATTATAATCATCCTACTAAACATCTGTTTATTTTCTTGAACACAAAAAACTAAGCGTTTCACAGGTAACATTACAATACCAATTAGCATCCTGTCCACACACACGTTTGATAAGCACTTCATCTAGCAAAGATGAAAATTTACTTCCAGTGACCACAAATCAAATATCTTCGAGCGATGATACACACTGATATCTATCTCAAAACAGTTTAACTACGAGAGAAAAATTCAGATTTAACCATGGAACCATACCACCGCCGTAATTAGTTAGACAAACCGTCCATCACCACGCAGTCGTCCGAACACATGCTGCTGTGCACATGCACCGTGCTGCAGCCACGAGTGAGATCTTCTGCCCCTAAGCGACTGCGAGGTCAGAATCAGGAAAGCCAAAATAGGTAGTTTTTTCCGGGTGCCTCAGTCTTTTTGTAGACACCGCGACTCCCTGGGCTGCCAGATTTTTGTCTACTTGCATTCTAATCAAACCAAATTTATAAAAGCTCTTGGCGTCCTGCCACACAGGTTTTCAAATTTTTTTTTGTTGTGGGGGGGGGGGGGGGGGGGCTTAGCCCTTTCCACTTTGTGTTTGTGTGTGTTTGTGGGGGGGGGGGGGGAGGGAGTGGGCTGAAGATGCCTAAGCCACCACGATTCAAAGCTTTTCCTTGATGAATCATTGCAGACATTTAAATAAGGTCTATAAAAATACTGTAAATCTGAACATATCATAAGAACATTGGAATACTTGTTGTCTTTAGTGGTTTAGAATCATAATCACTCACGCTGTAAATATTTTGTGGATAGCCTCTCTAATTTTGAAATTTCGCATGGCCCGTGAACTGATTACAAACGTATACAATGAAGAAACCGCTTGACCACTTCGCCAGGGAGACCCCAATAATGTAATAAAGAACCTACTGACTGTGATAAGCACCACTGCCGCCCCAGGAGCGGTGACATTGTTCAGAAACATGTTTACCATTGACTAGATAAGAACTCAACCTTGATTCGGGGGACCATTATCGTCCACTGTTGTGGGCATGGTGCAAGATGAAGATGTTAGGAAAATGAAATGGGTGCTTTATTAATATCTTACCCCAAACAGGGGAAATCCACAGGTCATGGGACAGTCTTATATTTCAAGGGGTGGCAGATAGGCTGCATGCAGTCGTGGGACCTAGGCTGCACTCTCTCGCAGGACGTAGGTGGGTTGGCGTTAATGCCAGTTCTAGATGTTTTGGGGTCGTTTAAAGCACCAGTAAGCCGCGAAACGCAGTCTTACCAGACTCTAAAATGTTGGACTGTACTGTGACGTCATCTGGGGTAGGATATTAATAAAGTACAAGGAAATGACGCTGGAAATTAGTGACGACTGGCAAGATCGATGTACACGAAACAAGAGGAAGGCCATGAGATATAAATACCTGGCTGATTTGCCATCTGGATGGGGTGAGCCAAAAAACACTAACCTGATCCTTCATGCTGGTGATGGTATGAGAAGACTACCATGGCTACGATTCTCAACCCTGAGACATGATAATGACGATCATGCTGATGACGACATGATGCTGATGGCGATGATGAAATTTTTCCAGTTACTGATACTTCTGCTCATAGTGACAATCTGGGTCATGTGGGCAAAGATCTGGCATCACAGTATTCAGGATGAGCCCATATTCGTTCCGTCCCTCTCCTTAACAGCCAGTAAAGAGTCTTCATACTGACGTTACCCTTGCCATCTAGTTAACTAGTTTTCATCATCAAGTGCCTTGCCAGTTGGCCTAGGCGTTCATGCGTCTCCACAAATCTCGGTCTTTGGTATTCTAGACCAATTCCACTGATGATATTTCTCCATGGCCCTTTCTAGCGCCATCCGCCATCATTTCTCTTGGTCTACCTCTGCCTCTTTTACCAGTGATCTTTCCATTCGTCTGTTTAACTAATGATGATTATTAGAACATCTTGATACATTTTCGTATTGTGGACACTTTATTAAAGAACTTACCAGCTGTAATCATGACGATTGCCGTGCCAGGAGTAATGACGTTGTTCAGAAACATGTTTACCAGATAAACAATGTACACAAAACTGAAGCAGTCGTTATTTCGCACCAGCCGAAACAGGTTCTGCACCACCAAGATGGCATTTGCCATGTCAGAAAGTATCCAACGTCGCCGCTGCTTGTAATACTCCTGCAAGTTATTTAATAATTCATTTGAGATTAATTGTGAGAAAGGTGTAAACATTAAACAAATAAAAACATTCTTCTTTTTCTTCGCGTTCCCTAACAGTAACCTCTGGCGGAAAGTTCTGGTTGTTCATCCACCTCTGGACTTTAGACTTGTTCCAGAACCTGAGTGCACATCCATTTTAAAGACCTGACTTATGTGTATGCAGACTGTTGGTTCCTTACCTCTCAAACAGATGAACTCCGACTTCGAAGGAAGCTCCCAACTAGTTGACTCTTACGACATGCTTTTGGATAGGCATTGGGTCTATTCTTGTTTTCCCTACAATGGGGACCCGGAACCCACACGGGGAATAAAGACATTTAGGATCCGGTTGTGCAGTTTATACGGTGCATCTCATATAGGGCTCTCAATCTTTTCCTCAGTTCCATTCTATCCCATGCAATGTTCACCATAAAAGGAAAGCAGTCTTTTACACGCCTTCATGCGTATTTGGCATATAAAGCTAGACCTATATTTTATAGACCAACTGACAATGGGTGCGTGGTGTGGTCAGCATCACACTGATCGCCTTAGCATCACACTGGTCGCCTTTGCTTCCCAGGACTTTACCTAGTATCTATTTAAAGCTGTGTCGACCTGGGAGCCAAAGTAGTTTCTAAAAAAGTTCGGCTCCGTCAGGATCCAAACCCACGATCTTCAGATAAGCAGGCGAGCGTCTAGCCGCTACACTAGGCGGCCCCCAATTGTCACATAACATGGATATAATCTAGCCCAGCAGCATTGGTTTCTCTCATCAAATTTCGCCTTAGGATTACTCTTGGACGCCCTCATTACCTAGGTCCGTTTTTTTCTTTCCAGTGATTTTTTTGGGGTGGGGGTGGAAAGGGGGGGGGGGGGGCGTAGTTTCCTCTCCTTTTCTAATCAGTATATGCTCAACGTATCGACCTCCTCTTAATTTTATAACTGTTGATATCAGCGGTTAATCAGGCATTTCTTCGTGTTTTTAAAAAAATCCGCCAGTTTAACGTTCATCAATTCTTTCAGGCACTTGTTTTATTTCTATGTCTTTAGTGGTTCTCTAACTTTTACTGACAAATGTTAATTTACGAGTACTATTAACAACCCAAAACAACAAAAATCACCTAGTAATCGTGGTTGAAACAGCTATGCAAACTAAGATACTACAGATCAGGTGTGTACTAAACTATACAAACATGGGGCTTGCAACATATCACACTTAACACACTAGAGGCCAAGTGCCCACTGGGCTATACAAATACTGTTCTTGTAACATATCAAACTAACATACTACAGGTCTGTGTCCATTGGTCTATACAAATACTGTTCTTGTAACATATCAAACTAACATACTACATGTCTGTGCCCATTAGTCTATACAAATACTGTTCTTGTAACATATCAAACTAGCATACTACAGGTCTGTGCCCATTGGTCTATACAAATACTGTTCTTGTAACATATCAAACTAACGTACTACAGGTCTGCGCCTATTGGTCTATACAAATACTGTTCTTGTAACATATCAAACTAACGTACTACAGGTCTGTGCCCACTGGTCTATACAAATACTGTTCTTGTAACATATCAAACTAACATACTACAGGTCTGTGCCCATTGGTCTATACAAATACTGTTATTGTAACATATCAAACTAACGTACTACAGGTCTGTGCCCATTGGTCTATACAAATACTGTTCTTGTAACATATCAAACTAACGTACTACAGGTCTGTGCCCATTGGTCTATACAAATGGTGTGCTTGCAACATATCAAACTAACATAGTACAGGTCTGTGCCCATTGGTCTATACAAATACTGTTCTTGTAACATATCAAACTAACGTACTACAGGTCTGTGCCCATTGGTCTATTCAAATACCTTTCTTGTAACATATCAAACTAACGTACTACAGGTCTGTGCCCATTGGTTTATACAAATGGTGTGCTTGCAACATATCAAACTAACATACTACAGGTCTGTGCCCATTGGTCTATACAAATGGTGTGCTTGCAACATATCAAACTAACATAGTATAGGCAATATGCATATATATATATATATATATATATATATATATATATATATATATATATATATATGGTGCTTGCAAAATATAGCTAACACCCCCCCCCCCAAAAAAAAAAAAAACGAGCAAATAGGTCCAGGACCCCCCAACAAGCATTCATAAAAAATTAGTAAATAAGGGTTAACTGAAATTGGATGTGTTGGATCAAAATGTACATATATCGCAGCCTAGCTATAAACAACAATAGAACTCTCAAGGGCGACAGCAGAAGAACAGTTCAAATTAAATGCAGTACTTCTAGGTTAGTTGAAATAGTCACCACGTTGAGGCCTGGAAGAAAACAACAATACAGCTCAGTTTAATTGTATGACGAAATCGTGACAAATCTAAAAGCTATGAAAAAAGCGACAGTTAACACAGTCTGTGACAAACACAACCTCAAACGAATCTGGACAGTATGTGCTGTTGTCTGCAAACGGGGAGTATCGCATGCGCCATCCATTGATCATCATCAGAGTTGCCATCCACCGATCTTCCCCTGTACAACGAAAATATACGTAATTCTGTCAACAATAAACATACAAAGTAGACGACTTCTGTACTAACCTCTTCTTCTGCTCTTTATTAAACAATAGAGTATAGAAAGGGTGACCATTATATATTGAGCTGAAAACGGGACATACTACTAATATTTTTGGCTAAAAACGGGACAGGCCAAACAAATCTTGTAACACCCCCCCCCACCCACCCGCCCCCCCCCCTAAAAAAAAAAGGAAAAAGGTCATCAGAGTAAAAGTTTTAATTACACACTCGACAATTATTAAAACCCGAACCACTGTCGTTACGGAAAAAAAAAATAATAATCAAACACTATGCCCCTAAACTGCACTGGGAAAAAATGCTAAAATGTGAAATCTAATAAGGTCTACATATATAACCGAAGTGTAGGTTCTATTGTCGAGTTAATTCCTAGATTTTTTTTTTCAACAGGATAATTTGCGATTCATGGAGTACTGACGGGACTCTCTGGACACATCCTAAAACACGCCATGTATATTTTAGAATTATCTGTAAATCATGCCATGTTCTTTCCATGGTTTTTTTTTAAATTTCATTCCGTTTCAAAACCGACGTTACCACACCGGATGTAAACAGCCCACAAGCAGACGCTGCTGCTGCAATGTAAATGATTAGGATTTTTCAAACCTGTGGCATCGTGAGAATAGTAACTATCTAACTTCACGTCGCGTTTTCTTTCCGTTGTCATAGAAAACAGGGGAAATAAGAGATATTATGGAGAATGTTCTGAGACAGGTTGTTACAGAGAACACTGTGAGAAGAAGCAGTTATAAACAACGTCGTAAGAAAAGAGAGATTTAGGAGGAATATCGCGAGAAGAGATGCTACGGAAAACGTTGTGAGAAAAGCAGGCAAGGCTGTGGGAAGAGGGAGTTATGGAAAAGGCTGTTTGATGAGGGATTATAGATAAGGCTATGAAAAGAGGCAGGTATAGAGAACTTTGGGAGAAGATAAAGTTATATATAACATTGTGAGAACACGGAGTTAGGGAGAACATTATGAGAAGAAGAAATTGTGAAGAAGGTGGTTAGAAGAAGGAATTATCAAAAACGTCTTGAGAAGAGACAGTTTATGTACAACATTGTGAGAAGAGAGAGAGCAAGAGTTACGTAGACCATTGTGAGAAGAGGGGATTATGAAGAATGTTGTGAGAAGAGGGAGTTGAGGAGAACATTGTAAGAAAAGGGAGTTAATGAGAACACGGTGAGAAGAGGGAGTTATTGAGAACATTGTGAGAAGTTGGAGTTATGTAGAACATTGTGAGAAGTCATATTTTTTAGAATATTGTGAGAAGAGAAAGTTATTGAGAACATTGTGAGAAGTGGGAGTTATGTAGAACATTGTGAGAAATGGAGCTATGTAGAACATTGTGAGAAGTCATAATTTTTGAGAACATCGTGAGAAGAGAAAGTTATGTAGAGCATTGTGAGAAGAGGAAGTAATGTAGAACATTGTGTGAAGAGGAAGTTACTGATAACGAGAAAAAAGAGAAAATTCGAGAGAAAACTGTGAGTAGAGAGCTTATCGAGAACATTGTAAGAATTTATATTATGAATTAGGTCATGGGATGAGTGGTTGTGGAAAACTTTGGAAAGGTATATATTAAAAAAAAAAAACATGTTTAAAAAGGGAGAAAATGTCAGCTTCATTGTCGGAATGGTTTTGAAAAATCTACTTTACAAGAGTACAGAGAACATGAATATAAAAGTACATATTCATCTGTCGTGTTCGACATTGCATAAGATCCTGACAAACGGCCAAAACATATTACGCAAATTACATAAATGAAAGATAATACTTAACAGGCCTGAAAGAATAATCGTGTAATGATATTGTTCATATTTCAAAGCTCAAAACAGTATGTTATCTTTCAAGAGAGATGAAAGGTTACTCTTTTCTGGCCACTAATTGTTTTTCGCTGGATGGATATTTATTAGACAAAGAAACACCATTTCTCTATTATCTTCTTCTTCTTCTTCACTTCCTCTTTTACCGCTGTGGGTGTCGAGGGAGATATAAGGTTCTGTTTCTAGCTCTTCTGGCCGCCTCGACCATAGGCACATCGTGCTGTTGTAGAGTTTCTTTGATGTTATCCTTCCATATTGTTCTTAGTCTACCTCGTGCTCTACGTCCTTCTCTTTCCATGTATGCTTTATATGGTATGGTGTCACAAGGCATTCTCTCTAAGTGGGCAAACCATTTCACTTGCTGTCTTCGTATGTAATCCAAAATTGGTTCTGTGCCGACTTTTTTTCTTATGATCTCATTCCTGATCTTATCTCTTATGGTCACTCCTACAGCCCTTCTCAGACATCTCATTTCCGTGGTTACTAATTTTCTTTTATGGTTTGTTGTGAGTGACCATGTCTGGCACTGGTAGCACAGGGTTGGAATAAATATATTGAAAAAGATGTCTCTTTGTGCTGATTGGGATTGTCTTATGCTGTAAGAGGGGGGCTAGCTGTCCCAATACCTGGTTTGCTTTACTGCATCTAATGTTAATTTCTCTATCCAATTTCCTATCTTCGGTAAATGTAGTTCCCAGATATTTAAACTCAGATGCCTGTTTAATGCCTTTGCACTCTGTTGTTATGTTTAGATCTGTCTTCCTTTTTCCTATTGACATTACTTCTGTCTTTTCAGTGTTGATTCTCATATTATTTGTTTTACATTCTTTATTCATGGATGTTAGATGTTGTTGTAATTTCATGGCTGTATCTCCTATCAAGGCCTGGCCATCTGCAAAGAGTAATTCGTTGATCTTACTAACATTTTCATTCATGGGCTTGGCATTCTTGCATATACTGTCAATGTAGGTGATAAACAGCAGTGGTGATAAGACACACCCCTGTCTTACTCCAGATGTTACTGTGAATGGATGAGATGTTCCCTGATTTATTTCAACTACACTTCTACAATCCCTGTATAAACTTTTGCACACTTCGATGAGGTGTTCTCTTACTCCATATCTTGCCATTACTCCTTTACCATATAGTTGTTAAAGTTATCGGACGACAAATCCATTACCATATCTGGTGGCATCAAAAAGCCATAATACGCACGCAAAAGTATCAATAATATATTTTGGAAAAAAATTACATGCTAAGAAAATGAAAATTAATTTTTTCTTCCCCCCCCCCCCCCCCCCCCAGTTATTTCCGTGTGGCGGCCTGTTCCCAATACTTTCAGTCATTTATGACACTGATGTTCCTCCATACCCTGATGCCAAACTGTTCCCATTCATCTCTCCTGGTCTTCCTCTGCCCCTCTATTCTTCCAGATTTCCCGTTATATTATGTTTGTTTTTACAATCTACGTCGCTGCATATTAGGCATTCACATGCGTGCTCAATCCTCAGATGAAGCAGCCACTCTAACGTACCTCTACTAACTGTTCCCATGAGAAGGTGGTTATACTGTCTTCTTTTTTAAATCTCGAAGACGGCATAGCTTCACCAAGCTTTACTTCCAGGTCACGTAATCGTGATAGCGTCGTAAATTCAACAGTAACCCCCAAACCATTCCGTACAGAGTTAATGAGATCAGCTCTGTCCATGATCCTTCCAGTTTGCATTGGTCAATTACTAGCCAGCCTGGTCGGCTCTTTTCTGTTGTCACTGCAAACTCTAGGTTTTCCTTTCTTGCAATATGACAACGAATGTAGATGAGGACATTGCAGCAGACCTCCTGGCCTAAATGGTTTTGAGGTTTTGAACAACGGATCAACATCATGGCACACGGGTAGTAACCCATGAGTGGTCCGTTTTTCTTCTAACTCAAATCTGAGTCCGAAGAAGCTCAGCACAATGCACAGGCTCTTTAGCACCTGGCGAGGATACTGAAATACTTTGGGTAGATTTTTAACTCCAAATTGTGCCCGGGCAGCTAGGCTACTTTTTTCAATTTCTAACTGGCAAGGGATATTTTACGTGCGCAACAATGCACATGGGCAACTGATCTAACTTCCCAGAGACCAGGGGGAATTACTACCCCCTATCACCCGAACCCGGAACCTCTAGCACTCGAGGTGGCCACCATGCCTAGAGACCACGCAAGTCCCTGTTCATGCCTAAAAGTAAAGTTTAAGTGGTTTTTAGATATAGAATTGTGAGAAGAATACCCAGTGAGTAGCCACTGACCAACACAGGCGATTGTAGTGATATGGAAGAGGAGTTGGTGTATGGTGCATTTAATTCTATTAAAACTATCTTTACTATTTGTGTTTACCCCATTCTAGGACGGTGTCAGACACTCACAGACAAGAATGCATTGACTGTCACGGCACATACCTGTATCCTTGACATAAACGGTGAATGGAGTCTTTGTTGGGCTGGAGTACTTGTTCATCACGTCCCTGATTGCACTGGCCCGATACAGACTGAAGCATCCAGGACAGCAGCTCACGGAACCGATCACATTCTGGGCATTCTTGATCATCCAGAAATCTGGGAGGAGATTATTGGAAGCATCATGTAGCATTGATTACGTACAGATTGTATAACTCTAGGAGTGAAATGTTTGTGGCAAAATAAACGTAACATCCATTAATCTACGGCTATTATGGAGTTTCATGAATGCAGTATCTGCCATACAGCTGTATGGTTCAAACGCTGCTGTGTCGACCTGGGATCAAAGGTCAATTCTGAAAATGGGGGATTAAAACGTATTATATTTCTTCGAACTTCCCTTATTGATTCTCAGTCTCGTCAAAACATTTGTATTTGATTGTTTTGTCCCCCCCCCCCACCCACCCAATCCCTTCCCATCCCGGGCCAGTGTGAGTTCCGGGACTCCATTTTAGAGAAGAAAGAATAAACCCATTGCTCCCTATCAAGCATGACGCAGGAGGCTACTATTTAGGAGTGTTTCCTTCATAGTTGAAGTGCCTCTGCCTGAGAGGTAAGGAGTCAACAGCCTACATACAAGTAAGCCAGATCTGTAAAACAGATGAGCACGCAAAACTCAAGTTCTGGCTCAAGACCAAAGTCCACGAATGGGCGAACAATCAGAACTTTCCGACGGAGTCTACAGCCGATGAACATTAAGCAGAAGAATATTGTTTTATTTATTATCCTTTCTTTATTCTTTTGTTTCTTTGTTTGTTATAAAACAGAACATTCTTCTGTACACCCACACTTGCAGAGTTTCAGTTCGACTGTCTAAGTTTATTTTTGTGCAGCTCCACCCCCGCCCCTCCCCCACCCCACCCCACCCCACCCCACAAGACAAATATATCGTTATGTGTATAAATATACTCCTAGTGTACCTAGTTCTCGTTCTTCCCAGCCGTTACCCTTTCAACATATAACTATGATCTTTTCATTTTTCTTTTTTATGAAATCCTGTACATCGTTCGCTATATAAAATATTTCTGACTAGTTAATTTATTCATTACCAAAACAAAAACTGCATATAAACTTAGCTCAGTAATTGCTCAAACCATTTCCAATTTCGTCCTTTTTAGGACGAATTTTTTTGTCATTTGAAGCCCTACTCTGGCTTTTGCCAGGGGCCGCAATATAGGCAGGCCATACATATGGCCAAATGTCTGAACGCGGTTTCTGGGACCTCTCCACGGCGATCCTCATCCGCATGGTGGCACTTTGTGTCATCGGGTGTTTATCGCTTGTGTGATGTCTTGGTGGTGTAGAAAGTCAGTTCAGTTCAGTTCATTGCTCAAACATTTTACCTTACGCATTACTGATGCAATCTTAACTTGAAATGTCCCCTTGTTTTAGCAATTATAATTGTTATCTTATATCTCTCTGTTTTTTTCCCCTTTCAAAAGTGAATTATCAAAATCAATGAATTTTTCGCAAGGGATGTAATCACTTGTCGCGCTAACTTAAAAAAGAAAATGCCCTTTTTTAACTTAAAAAAAAAAAAAAAAATTCACAGGAGCTGTTTTCAATTAGAAAAAAAAAAAAAAAAAATTAAAAACCCAACAACATTTACGTCATATCTGAAATCACATTTGAGCCTTCACTCCTGGTTCTCACTGAGTTGAGTTTCTGGCACCATGCCTTCTGCTACTTTTTGTTCCTAATACGCCATGGGGCTTTATGTGACCAAAATATTTAAGCTTTTGAGATAAGATGCCGTTCTTAGCCAATATTCCTTGATGTTTAGATCTTTTAAAATGTCATAATTTTTTTCTCTTCTTTACGTGGTATTCTGAGAATCTTTGTATAGCATTTCCTCTCAAACGCCAGTATTTTCTTTCTTAAGCACTTTGAGATAGCCCACGACTTACATCCGTATATTGCTATAGGGAAGATGCATGCTCTTAAAATTGTAATTTTGATTTCCATGCTGGTGCTTAACTGTGGGCTTTTAATGCTTTTTAACTGTGATGCTGTACCATAATAATCTTCTCTTCTTTTCGTGGTATTCTGAGAATCTTCGTATAGCATTTCCTCTCAAACGCCAGTATTTTCTTTCTTAAGCACTTTGAGATAGCCCACGACTTACATCCGTATATTGCTATAGGGAAGATGCATGCTCTCAAAATTGTAATTTTGATTTCCATGCTGGTGCTTAACTGTGGGCTTTTAATGCTATTTAACTGTGATGCTGTACCATAATGCACTGGCCATAATGATGCTTAGCGCCACAAGGAGTAACAAGCTGGGAAATGTTTTGGTAAACGAGGCAATGCATTATTCTCGTGTGCACTAAGGACACTTCCTGCCAATTGATGCGAAACCTATAAGATTTTCTTACGATGAACAACAGAATCAAACTTTCCAGGGCCACAGCTTTACCAAAGATGAAATCAAACTAGCGACACCCGCTTCACAGTAGGTAGGTAGATAAGTTGTACCTCATCAGGACATCACACAAGCGATAAACACCCGGTGACAAAAAGTGCCACCATGCGGATGAGGATCACCCGTGAAGAGGCACCGGAAACCCTGTTTAGCCGTTGGGCCATATTTAAGGCTCCGCTATATTTAGGGCCCTCGGCAAAAGCCAGGGTAGGGCTTCACAATAATATAAAAAAATTGCATCTCACGTGTGGACGACTGTTACTTGTGTAATGTATTGTCTCTTCATAATGAAGTTAGGTTAGTTTAGTTGCGTATCCAATTACAGGACGTTGCAGAACCAACCCAAGCAGCCCTTGGCTGTTGTATGGTTTCTCTAGCCAAATTTACGTCCAGTAGTTTGCCATTTCTTACTGGACGGTCGGCCCCTTTTACCACTGTCAAAACCAACGCAAGGCGCATGGCTGGGATTGAACTTGGCACCCCGGCATTACGAAGCGTTCGCATCGACTTAGCCACAGAGCCGACTCACAATGAAATATTACACCCCCCCCCCCCCCCCCCCCCCTTAAAAAAGACTGAACTAAAAAGAGGCAAGTCTTGAAAGGGTCGTGCTAAAGATACCATCTAGCAGATTTGTCTAATCTAGGAAACGAATGGCTGCATTTGCCAAACTGCTTCAAACATTAACAAAACGGTCCATATCACCCTTGACAGAAGCTGTAGAGAACTGATCTAATGCATTGTGGACAGATGAGTCAAAATGCTGGTTGATGAGAACACATGTGTCAACGATGTTGCGGTTTACACGGATGGATAGGTCACTTTGGGCAAGCAAAGTGCACGGTATCACACATGTGGAAGTCGCCGTGGCGTTGGCGGCTAGACCCTGCTTGCGGATCAGAAAGTCGTGGGTTCGCGTCCTGACGAAACCGGACTCTTTTTGGAAAGTGACCTTGACTCCCAGCTCGACCCAGCCTTGAGGTGCTGTCCTGGGAAGTGAAAGCAGCCTGCTTGATGCTGACGACATACCCACAAAGTGCCGATTGGTCTATAAAAATATAGGTCTAGCCCTACATTCAAAATACGTCTAAAGGAATGGAAAAGAGACCCTTTCCTTTACTTAGCAAGCAAAGTGCACGGTGAAAGCAAATGGAACCAAAAATAAAAAAAACCGTTATGGAGATGAGTGGCGCCTTTGCCGTTACAACCAGCTGCCACGTAATGGAGACCCTGGCTGCATCAAAGACATTGCCTTAGCTGGGTACTCTAGATTTTAAAAATAAATTTAGAAAAATAAAATTCGCTGAAATTAGTGTACTGTAGCTTGTTTGTTGGTCTATCCGTCTATACAAGCGATAATATTTTTTTTTTGCGAGGAGGACGCATGAGACTCACAGCCCATGGCGATGGCGAGAGGGACTAGCAAGACATGTTGGTGTTGAGAAAAGTCTTCCACATCTAGAGCATCGGATTTCAGGGCCGTTGTTGCATGAAAGAACGCCTCAGCAGACTGAAGGATTTACTACAATAGGGACGATAGATGAGGTCTCACCATTAAAAACATTCAGCCCAGGTAATAATTTTCAGTCTTAACGCTTTATTTATCTTTAACATAATGAAACAAGCAAACCCATAAGCATAATGATTAAGATGCCCTGCCATGCTAGTGGGCAGGATGCAGTCACTTTGCTTTTAATGTTAGTGACGTTTCCTTTATAGGACGTTGCAGAACCAACCCCAGCAATTGTGTGTGTGTGTGTGTGTGTGTGGCTGTTGTGTCTTTTCTAGACAAATTTACTTTAGGTAATTTGCCATTGCTCTCTGAAAGGTTGACTCTCGATACCATTATCGAAACTAAAACAAGACAGTCTGCTGTCAAATCGCCTGCACCTGGAGCGAACCACGCATTACCGAGCGCCTTCGCAACGCTCAGCTCACACACGAATCTCTAGCAATGTCATAATTATCTTTTGCGGCCAGACAGACACTTGGGCAGACGCAGTTGTTTAAAATGGATATCAGCTTTTCATTAGATTTGTGTAAAAATGTCTTGGGAAGGAAAGGTGATGAAAAGAGAAACGGATAATCCGATCCGTTATATATTTCATTTTATCAAAGCCTATAATATACGAGGGTCTAACACTTTTGATTCAAATAGCTGTGTTTGCAACGGCAATATATGTTTTATATTAAAAATATTTGATGTCAAACTTATTTTATAGGAAGCCGCTGTGGCGTAGAAGCTAGACTCTCGTCTGCTGCTCTAAAGATCGTAGGTTCAATTCCTGATGGATCTGGACTTTTTTTAAAGCATGGCTTTGGCTCTCAGATCAACCCAGCCTTGAACGGGTACCAGGTAAACTAGTGGAAAGTAGAGGCTGCCGACGTGATGTTGGTCTCATCACCCACCGAGTGTGGTTTGGTCTTTAAAATTTAGGTCTAGCCCTATATCCCAATACGCCTGAAGTCGTGGGGAACGGTTCTATGTATTTGTTTTCTTATAGTGTATGCCGTGTGGCCTTGTTAATTATGTCTGTCTACAACATTCTCCCTCGTATACTGTCAGTTTCTGATACAGACGCTCTTTCTTGCAAACGATCCATCTGTATCTGTGGCTGGTTTTTTTTTTTTTCACATGGACTTCTTGTAATTGTCCCTTGTCTCTGGGTAGTAAGACCGGACGCTCGTGTTTATTGTTGCACACGTAAAAGAATCCCTTGGCAGTAGGAAATCGAAAAGAGTAGCCTAACGACGCTGCCTGAGCAAAACTTTGAGTTAAATATCTACAACAGATTTCATGCACTGAGCTGAGATTCTTAAGACTCAGGTTTGAGTTAGAAGAAGAACGGAGCACTTATGGGTTACTACCCGTGTGCCAAGATGTTGATCCGTTGTTAAAAACCTCAAAACCTCTTGCAAACGATTCATCCGTACTTAGTTTCCCTCTTTTCAAATTTTCTCGTTGCCATGAAAAGATCCATTTATTGTCCAGTTAAAAAAAGGTTGGTTGCGTATCCTTTACAGGACGTTACAGAACCAACC